TTGTATGGATTTAACATTTTGTGTATCAGGCAGTTGATGGACATTTGTGTTGTTTTCACTCCTTAGCTATGAAGAGTAATGCGTGCCTGGCTGGGCGTGGTGGCTCACACCTGTAATGCCAGCACTTTGGGAGGCCAGGGCGGTGGATCACGAGGTCAAGAGATTGAGACCATCGGCCAACATGGTGAAACTCCCTCTCTACTAAAAATACAAAAATTAGCTGGGCATGGTGGCGGGCGCCTGTAGTCTCAGCTACTGGGGAGGCTGAAGCAGTGGAATCCCTTGAACCTGGGAGGCGGAGTTTGCAGTGAGCCGAGATCGCGCCACTGTACTCCAGCCTGGCGACAGAGTGAGAAAACAAACAAACAAACAAACAAGAATAATATTGTGCCTGTATTCCCAGCACTTTGGGAGGCTGAGGCAGGTGGATCACCTGAGGTCATGAGTTCGAGACCAGCCTGGACAACATGGCGAAACCCCATCTCCACTAAAAATACAAAAATTAGCCGAGCATGGTGGCTCATGCCTGTAGTCCCAGCTTCCCAGGAGGCTGAGGCATGAGAATGGCTTGAACCTGGGAGGTGGAGGTTGAGGTGAGCTGAAATCCTGCCACTGCACTCCAGCCTGGGTGACAGAGCAAAACTCCATCTCAAGAAAAGAGGAATAATGCTGCTGTGTACATTCCTGTACAAGTTTTTGGTGTGGACACATGTTTTCAGATCTCTTGGATTGCTGGTTTTATGGTAGCTCTATGGAGGAACTACCAAGTTGAAGATATATATTTTTGCTGTTTTAATACCTGTATTAGCTTAGTCTCAGATACCAGAACTGGCTCAGTGGCTGGGGCCTTTTTTTTGTTGTTGTTAAGAGTCTTACTCTATCACTCAGGCTGGAAGTGCAGTAGTGTGATCTCAGTTCACTGTAACCTCCTCCTCCCCGGGTTCAAGCGATTCCTGTGCCTCAGCCTCCCAAGTAGCTGGAATTACAGGTGTATGTCACCATGCCTGGCTAATTTTTGTATTTTTAGTAGAGAAAGGGTTTTGCCATGTTGGCCAGGCTGGTCTGGAACTCCTGACGTCCTCAGGTAATCCACTCGACTTGGCCTCCCAAAGTGCTGAGATCACAGGTATGAGGTCAGGTTTTTTTTTTTTTTTTTTTTGAGATGGAGTCTCACTCTTATCGCCCAGGCTGGAGTGCAGTGGCACGATCTCAGCTCACTGCAACCCCCACCTCCTGGGTTCAAGCGATTCTGCTGCCTCAGCCTCCTGAGTAGCTGGGATTACAGGCGTGCACCCCCACGCCTGGCTAATTTTTTTGTATTTTTATTAGAGACAGGGTTTTTCCATGTTGGTCAGGCTGGTCTCCAACTCCTGACCTCAAGTGATCTGCCTACCTTGGCCTCCCAAAGTGCTGGGATTACAGGTGTGAGCCACCGCACGTGGCTGATTATGCTGCTTTTTAGATGAGACGATAGTTTTTATTTTTAAATTATTTTTATTTATTTATTTTTTTGAGATGGAGTCTCACTCTGTTGCCCAGGCTGGAGTGCAATGATGTGATCTTGACTTACTGCCTCCTCCACTTCCTGAGTTCAAGCAATTCTGCCTCAGCCTCCGGAGTAGCTGGGACTACAGGTGTGTGCCACCACTCCTGGCTAATTTTTGTATTTTTAGTAGAGACCGGGTTTTGCCATGTTGACCAGGCTGGTCTCGAACTCCTGACCTCAAGTGATCCTCCCACCTCGGCCTCCCAAATTACAACTGTGAGCCACCATGTCTGGCCGAGATGATACTTTTAAAATACGGCCCTTTCTTCATCTGCGGTGGGCCGCACTCTCCTTCTGTGTAGAATGAAGGCTTCAGTGTTTCTCAACTTCTGTTAAACCCATGCCTACTTTTGAGAAACATGCCCTCTCCAGTCTCCCCTGCTCAGTATTTTGATATGTCCTCCGAGGGGTGTTATGCCTCTTTGTTGGAAGATGATGTGATTTTGGTTCTTTCCAGGTGGTTTTTGTGTGCAGAAAAGACTCTTGGGGGAATCGTTGTGGGGAAAGGGCAGGAGAGAGTGGGGCATCGTCCTTGAGAGCGTGAGCACTGGAGTCGGGGACTTGGGCCGAGTCATACACGTACAATATACTTGTGAACCGTTTAGATCCTGGGCAGAAACAAGACATGTTGGGAGGCTAGGGTTTCCTTTCCTTTAAATATAATTTTGTCCATACTCCCCTATCCATGTGCATTTTTGAAGTTTGCAGTGGTGGGGTTGCGGTGGGGTTGTGGGATCTGCATAGTCAGAATGGGATAGCCCCCAACACGCAGTCCTCCTCTCAGTGCAGGGTGAGAGGCTTGCCATTAGAATTTCACAGAGGTCTTGTGGCTATGTCATTTTAATCTTAGTGTCTCACCTGGGACGGTTACTGCCACGATCTCTGCAGTCAGGCTTTGGCGACCTGAAGGTCATGCAGTTTTGGGTTTCCTATTTAAGAAAAAGAAAGCAAAATTAAAAATGCAGGCCGGGCGCGGTGGCTCAAGCCTGTAATCCCAGCACTTTGGGAGGCCGAGACGGGCGGATCACGAGATCAGGAGATCGAGACCACCCTGACTAACATGGTGAAACCCCGTCTCTACTAAAAAAT